GATAATGCTCATTGAAGGGATGTTTACGATAGGTTGCTGCTGGTAGAAGATGCAGCCTCTACGTCGAACACAGACGTCTTGCATCAATTACATTATTTAATAACGTTTCAATCTTACACAAATGAATAATTTCGAATCGATATAAATATATCGTTATTACTGATTCATATCTCAGGCTCGGGTGCATTTTCTCGTCGCTCGTGGCCGGGTTCTTGATATTATATTTGTAAACTCACGATAAACTCGCACAATTAAGACGTGTTTGTATCTCTTATCAAGGCAGTGACTGCCTTCTACACTATTGTTGCCATAACACTTAAGGCGTTTTTCGCTATAATTGACTCAAAGTTTTCTCTTACAAATTTTCCCGTTTATTTCCAATGTAGTCATGGCATTTTTAATTGATGCACATTAGCTACATTACATTAGTTAACTCATTTTTAGCTATCAAATTAATTTACATCAGACTGTAAATTATCAAAAAGTTATTGAGTAGTAAGCAAATGTAGGTCGTTAATTACATATCAAGTTCGGTTTAATCAACAAAGGAAACAAAACTCGCTACAATCTAATCTGTACAAAGTTAAGTTGTACTTTTTTTGCATCGAAATTCTGTACGAGAGAGTTTTGAAGATGAGGTCTGCAATGATACTTATATGCAGACCAGGCTTGAGCCAGCAGCTAGGTCAATGCCGCGGCTCAATGGCTTCCTCGCTTCTTCAATTTATGTACATCATCTATTAGGACAAGGTAACACTGATGATTCAAACCGTCGTAAATCACATGCCTAAGAAACAAAAATTTTACTACGATAACTACTCATAAACAGTAAATTGTGTCAAGGAGTCTGTCTAAGTGTTGAACTTAGAAAATGACAATCTAGTGCATGCGGCAAAAAAGATGATCGAATCGTCTAAATTGCAATGGCCAGCCTCAGTGCTTCTTCAAACGTTTTATAAACGATGAAAAGTACGGGGTTCCCAATAGTAAATTAAATAATTTTATATATTAATTAAATATTCGACTAATTAACTCTATTTTTATATTTTTAGTTAATTTGTCTATCAAAGTCACAATTCACAAAAATTACACAGTGCAAGTATATAAGTGCCCTCATTCTGTGATTTTGAAAAATATTTGCCTTCCTGAAGAGTGAACAGTGAAAAATTGTGGAAATAAATCTTTGTGTAATGTAGATATGTAATATAAAATTCTAAATTGTTGAATCTCTTCAGAGCCACTCTGCATGTTTAGAGTTCGTTATCCCGCAATCATTTATATAAATAGATGAATATTTCCAGAGGTATAGTAAAACGAGAGAAAATTCATATAGGAACTAGCCCCAGCAAAATTGCATGCCAACTGAAATGAATGCAATGAATCGCCTTCTCGGCTGCATGAGCAGCACATTCACAGTTGTCATGATCCTCTTCATAACGCCATCTTCAGCTGGTAAGTTTTCTGTTAAATTCTAGACAAAAAGAATATTGATAAAGTATTTTGGCAGCTTGATCGGGTATTTGATACCTTCACTGCGTTCAAAGTTTTCCTCCTTTCGAGTTCCTTCTTGCGTATGTGTGTTCGTGATTTTGAAATTTGTTGCGGCATTATATTGCCTTGATTATCTTGCCGAAACAGGTTTTCGCTGCAAACCTTAAATTACGATTCGACGCTCGCCATATCATTAGCGATGCTCATGATGTTGGATTTGAAAGCCGATAGTTGAACTCTCAATTTATTATGTTGCAGATAGCATTTAATACAGCACATATCGTTTTGTTATCGAGTGGATTAACAAAAGTCAGAATTTATACATCACAAGTTGTATAGATTTGTGCACCTACACATTAGCTTGTAACCACCTGAGTAGTTCACAGGCTAAACTATCAATAATATACGCTGAAAAATTACTTTTTAATGACAACACTTCTAAAGAATCCAGTGTCTCCAATGTTAAAGATATACAATGAATTTCTCATTTTATTTTCGAATATTAAAAAATTAATTTTTCAATTTTTTATATATACACATTTTTTTCTCAAAATTAATTATTCTGTCAATTGATTCAAGCATTGCCTCCGACTTCACACAAGTGTGCAAAATTTCAGCTCAATTGGACAGGTAAAAGTATGCCAAATATCAGTTATAAGATTTGTAGCTGACAATGCTATTTTTTCAATTTTTTTTAATATTGAAAAAAAAAAATTATTTATTTATTTTTTAAATAATTTATTTCGTCAATTGATTCATGCATTGTGTCCAACTTTACGCAAGTGTGCAAAATTTCAGCTCGATAGGATAAGTAGATGTGTGTTAAATATCGAATATAAGATTTGTAGCAGACAGACAAACAAGCAGACAAACAAGAAGTGAAGTTAAGGAGAAGTGTTGTAAAAATAGCTCCCAGTTCATAACTTCGTCAGTCAATCACTGACGGCTTTTCAAGTTAAACATTTGAAATCACAGAGATCACAACCACACTAATCACAGATGAGAATAGCCGCAATGTGTACTTAGGCCGCTACGCGTACTTAGGCCGCTACGTGTACTTAGGTCACTACGTGTATCTAGGCTGCTACGTGTACTTCGGCCACTACGAGTATCTAGGCCGCTGCGTGTACTTCGGCCGCTACATGTACTTAGGCCGCTACGTGTACTCAGACCTCTATGTATACCTGGGCCGCTACTTGCACCTATAGGTCGCTACATGTACTTTGGTCGCTACGTGTACTTAGATTGCTACGCGTACTTGAGGGAGTTTTGATAGCACGACCTCATGAACCTTGGTGGACCGAATTGCGTCAGCTGCGCACCACTCTCCTTATATGAAGAATTTACAGCATTTCACGGTAGGCAATTACACAGTGCCGGCCTGCCGACCTTCGTCTAATGTAGCTCCGATAGTCTGTCACTGGCTGGTCGTTGACTCGTCGACCTTTGCTTCTTCAATCAACGTCTGGCGCTTTGTGTGGCTGTCGTGGTTGCCAACAAATTATGATGAGAACGTGAGAAACTAAAAAAAACTGGTGAATGGATTTAATGGATGCTGTAATCATTCATTTAGGTATGCGATGTTATGCATTCTATGCTACATTTCATTTATATGTGGAGGAAGGATTAAAGTTAAATATTCATTAGAAATTCTACAAGTGCATTTTTGTTTATATTTCGAGCGGAGCATGAATATGGAAGGGGTGCAGGTCCATTCAATAGTGTACTCCCCCATCCGATAGTGGAATAGGCTAAAGAACAAGGGAATATCGACATTCATACATAAATAGAATTTTTTTAAGATTGCAATTCTCATCATTATTGGTTAATCATAATTTAATATTCGAGAAGAATTACCCAACAAAATAAACTTGGAATTTAATCTGATCAAATCCTTGCAACATGCAATCTATGTTACATCAAACTAATCAATTAACAATATAGCACTGAAAATGTCAGCAACATGCCTCAACGTGTTAATTTTCATTTCCAATAAATTCAAGTGCAAGAAAAATGATGCATCTTAAATTCACGCTCAGAAAAAATCGCTCGTGCTAAACCTTCTAAAACAAGTAGATCTTATACATCATTAGAATGCTCGAAAACACAATAAATTAAAATATTTCGTTCGGTATGAAAAAACTGAAATAAATAATTTTGTCTGCTATTCCAGTGACACTTAGGCATACAGAGAGGGCGAGTGGGCCGGCGAGGGAAGATGTGTTCATGTCAACAATGCAACTACACACCAACGAGACGCGGTCCAGTCTAGCGTACCACATCCAAAACGTGAGATAAATTGTGCACCTGATTACATACGTGATGAGAGATTATTCAAAGAAGCTATTAAAAGTTATTCATACATTACTCTCCGTGACTTCAATTGCGTAAGAAATGTCCTTCATGGCTATCTTTACCACATAATTGACCTTATTTCGCCAGTTCACTTGGTTCTCTTTTCTGGATTATTGAACCAATTTGCATTTGACGTAGTTCGCAAATGATCCGTAGTAAAAAAAATTATAAAACAGTTGATTCATTTATTATAAGGAAAGTAGCTACCATAGATTGAGTAAAACAGCGCTAAATATTTGAAACATATTTGATATTCGTGCATTATTAATGAAACTACCAAAATAACTGCAACATAAAGATAATAAACCCTTTTGACTTTCTAATACCATCCACATTGCAAAATTTCCTGTCACCATCGTTGTTCAAAAAGCTGTTTGCTGCCCCTAGGCCATGGGTCTAATGAAGGACACAATGAGAGCGCCTTGGGTGCCAGGCGCAACAAATCTGCTGTTCCCAGGCGCGACGCCTGCGTGCCTGTCTTGCCAGGTGCTGGCCAAGGCGCTGTTCCAGTTCCTGCGCAGCACCACAGACACCGCACTCTTCTACAAGAGCCTCATTGCGATCTGCCAGAAGCTGCTCTTCAGACAGCCTGGCGTCTGTTCAGGGCTCATAAACAGTGAAAAAGTGAGTGATAATAATGACGTCGAACGTTTGATTGTGTATTAATAAATTAAGACACTGGGAATAAATAAATAAAAAGTAACTGAAGAAAAATGGATGGAAGTGAGTAAAAAATTGCAAGGAAAATTAAAAATCAATGACGTATTGAGTTAAATTATTAAATACTGCGTTCAATTGTATTTTCTGCACGCAACATTAAGTCTTCAACCATTGTCTCATAGCACTTCAAAGCAATACTTTTCAGATCTACTGCAATCGTTATAAAGTCACGTTACGCACGTTACTCAGTTGCACATACAGCTTTTACCATCAACAATACGTAATTTCATACCCCCTTTTCCTTCCTGGCCAATTTGGGCCTTTTTTGCCGTTTTCCACAATCGCAAAATTCAGTCATAAAAACATGTCGCATGAATAAAGACGTGTGAATGCATAATCAAAATCATGAATCGTATGGAAGGAAACTCAAACTTTTGACGGTTCATAAACACAGAACAGTGATTAAGTGAATGTCTTTCTTTTCCATTACGAGAACGTGAAGAAATGAATGCGGTCACCCTCAAGACACGTAAACGGTTTTTGCGTCCTTGGCGTTTCAGTACAAAAAGAAAACGATATAGAAACATGTTGCGTCATAGGTTCCTTCCGCAATATAGCAACAAACTTTCACGATTGCAACGATTGTTTTTAACCCCAGGACGTGATGGAGTATGTAATACGTCGGGGTCGCGCCAGTCACGTACAGTTGTGTGGACTGATCTTCAGCTCCAGCGCAGCACCCAGTCTGTCATGCGGCCTGCAATTCCATGACGAAGAATGGAGCGTCGATATTCCAGTCCCTTTTCTGAGCAGCCGTGAAAAATGGCTAGAAAATGAGGTAAATTCCTAGTTCGCTTGTTCTTTTAAAGATAATATTCTATGGAATCTAGAGTGGCAGGTAACCTAGACTCAGAACAGTCTTTCAAAAAATTCAACGTGGCATGCAATATGCTTTCATCATTGATTAATCAACCACTTATCACCGTTATTTACACCATACACCAAATATTCGCTTCAGAATCCGCGCATGTTTAATTCCTCGTGGCACAAATCTCGACTTGTGTTTGTTAAAATACGACATGGCAAATATTTATTTCGAAATTTATATCAAGCACATCGTTTCTTTCTGTTGTTCAGATCCATAATACGATAGAAGATTCTTCAGCGTTAGAGCAGTGGAGGGGAAAATCCGCAGACTTCATCAATGGAGGACGACCATACCTGAAATTTTTGCACCTCGCAGACCTGCACTACGACCCCGAGTACAAGGAAGGATCCAGCACGAAGTGCGGCGCGATAATATGTTGCCAGGCTGGAAGCGGTCAGTCTGGATCATGGAAGGAGTGCCCTATAATTAATACACTGTATTATAGTATACGTAAAACTGTTTGAATACTCTTTAATGAAACTTTTTGTTTGTGATGAACACACACGTCTTCCGTTTGCAGCATCAGCTTCAACGTGTGTGAATCAAATAACAATCAGAATGGCACCATTTTTTACAAATGAAGATTTCCCACATATCTTGCAGTTTAATATTTACCGTCATTTTTTATCGTTTTGAATTGATAATTGCATGCAGTATAGTAAACCGGTTTCAAATAGGAGCCCCAAGGGAAGGGGAGGCTGGAGCGGGCAGATGGGGTGACTATGGACCATGCGATTCCCCCGAGATTCTGGTGCGCAACATGCTGGAGGACATCCGTCGCCGACACAGCGTGAGTCCTGCTTTATACCCATGACACAACGTGAGTCCTATTCAAGTCTGTATAGCTAGTTTGAACCTATCACACGCACTTGCTGAGCATAAATTACAAATTTTAAACGTTGTTTAGTTAAGCATTATATAATTGGGCTTATTGTTCAAGTCACGCATATTAAACATTGACTGCCCTCAAAATGGCGCAAAGATGAACTCTTCAGAGCCGTACACTGCCGAAAATATATATTGGACCAAAACTTTTGGCCATCTCATCATTGATTATATTGTTTATTTTAATTAATTTGACCGCTTCGCTCTAATGAATTACAAAAAGGGGTAAAGTTTAAAAAATAAAGTAATTCACTGACATTTCGATCATAGAGAAACTTGAAAAAGTGCTAATATCGAATTTATCTTCCGGGACACCAACTACGCATTCGTGCGACTCTCAAGTGTGAAAAAATTAAACACAGCCTTAGTGTGAAAAGGCAGCCATACTGTGAAAAAATTTAATGCACCTTTCTCCACCTTACCAGCAAAAACATCCTTGCCATAGACGATGTACAAAAGAAACAAAAATGTTCTGATGCAGTCTCCCCTCGCCAGGACATCGACTACATCATCTACACCGGAGACAGCGTGGCGCACGACCTCTGGAAACTGAGTCGTGAGAAGAACACTAAAGTGATCAACAAAGTAGGAGAGCTTCTTAAAGAATATTTCCCGTACACCCCCATCGTCGGGGCGCTGGGCAATCACGAGTCTTTTCCGCGAGACAGGTACGCGATAATTTATATCCTCAAATTTGGTTTTTCAAGGTTTAAATCTTTGTTCATGTATTCATATAATTATCTCAGTATTTAGTACAGAATGCATGGAATATGTATTAATAACACGCTTTTAGATAATTTGAAACAACGTACGGATAGAAAAACGATTTCGTATCCACTTAATTTGTTGTAGCAAAAATTTAATCTGTTTTACTATTCAATACACAATGAAGTGTGGAGGTTGAAGAAGCGCCGTTTAAAAAAGTTTAGAATGGTTCTTGCTGCCCAGTCAATTGACAATTCATGAATGCGTTTCTTTTAGGATTTTTTTCCGCACAGGGATGATCTAATCAAATTAGCCAAAACCTTACAACGACATTTCCACAGTTTTCCTCCACCCGAGGACGCCACAGTCAACCGGAAATTCAGCAACTTGTGGCTGTACAACTTGATGGCCGACCAGTGGCAGAGCTTCCTGCCCAACGTTAACATCTCCACAGAAGCCAGGATATCAGGATCGTATTCTGTCCTAATCCAGCCGGGATTCAGGATCATCTCTCTCAACACAAATTTCTGTTTTAAATTCAACTGGTAAATTGCTTGTATTTGTTGAAAAAATATTTGCGTATGATCGGTAGTTTCAACAAACGAGTTGCGAATTTTCATTTAGTTTTGATTGTAGTCCAACGTTTACTGGGCTAAGGACTAGAACAAGCTTTCAATCTCGTTGATTTGTTCAGTGCTTAAAATATTTTGAAGTATTCAAATTCCCCATCAGGTGGGTTTTATACAAAAGCAACGATCCCGGCAACGTGCTCCGCTGGCTGGTACGTGAACTGCAGAAGGCGGAGGACAAGGGGGAGTATGTTCACATCATCGCACACATCGCCCCGCTCTACGCCGACTGCTACGAGCAGTGGGGGCATCAGTTCTCTAGGATCGTATCAAGGTAAAAAATTTATGATTAAGACTTTATGATTAAGGCTAAACTTGGAAAATAAATGGGCCTCAGTCACTTTCTCATCTTGAAACTTTCATCTGGATTTCTCCTGGGTTTCAGTAACTATTTTGTCATCCAACCCTGAGACTAGATTAAGCGAGATTAGTGATAGTTACGATTCAGACGGCATGATGGGTCTATATGCTAAGATTGTACAATGCACATTATATTGTTGAGCATACATACATCAGTTATTTAGAAAAGTTTTGAAACACACGAACTGGAAAAGTGCGATTGATTGATCATATTAAATTCATTTCGTAACACTTCTACCGCCGACTCCAATGTATGTCAATCAGAGAATATAACTTTATGCCCCAGGTACTCCAGGACAATCAGAGGCCAGTTCTACGGCCACAGTCACATGACTGAGGTGCTGCTCAACTATGACGTTAATGACCCCAAGCGTCCCGTAGGAGTCCAATACCTCACCCCCAGCAACACGCCCTATCGCCGCCTCAACCCTTCATACACTCTCTTCTATGTCGATGGCAACCATGCTGACTCGACACGAGTGAGTGAACGTCATTTCGGCTTATCATTTGTCATAGTGTTTGTCCCATTTGAAATGGATTAAATGTTACCAATTTGCGCGGAAAATGCATTTTCCATGCTTTTAATCATGGGTTTTACTAATTAATCGCGTGTTGGTGGTAATTTGTTCTTGTTACGTATCCGATGCTCCAAGTCGAATCGCGGTATTGTTGATTGTAAAGATTAATTCAAACCTCAAAACTGTGCGATTAAATGCATTCAGGTGCATAAGTCTGATACTTAATACCCATGATACTCAGGCGGTGCTTGACTCGAACACTTACTTCCTGAACCTGACGGCGGCGAACGCCCACGACGACGTGACGTGGCATCTGCTGTACAGCGCCCGCAGGGACCTCAGCCTGCGGACGCTCGAGGCGCCGGACTGGCACGACCTCGTCCGCAGGATGGACAAAGATCCTGAACTTACACGGAAATTCCATGCGTGAGTAACTTAAAAGATTACTTGAATACAATAAAACTTTGCAAATAACCTGTTAAGTATATATGTAAAAGTACCCCAATAATAGATAGAAGTCGGAAGGTTTCGGACGTTACAAATTGAAGCGTTCCCAATAAGCAACGGATTATACAAGTTTGATGCAAAAGTCAAACACTTGTAAAACTCTTATTTTCTCGAGCCTCGACATTAACTTCAAATTAGTATTGTTTTTGAAAGCTCGAATTGTATTTTTTGTCATTTTATAGTAAATCTTAAGCATTTATTTTAAATCAGATATGCTGTGAAGATGAGCGACGTTCTGAAGGACGATTGCGACAGGAGCTGCCGGCGACTTCTAGTGTGCAATATGGTGGAGAGCGACAGATTTCTGCCTAGAAAATGCAAAAACTGATGTCGAAGAGCACAACATGAATGGTTGCAAGTCAATATTCCTATCCTATAAAAATTTCTAAATCTGATTCACGAAGAGAAAAAAAAAAGCAATTGCAATTAATCCTATTCTAAAACTATAATTCTGAGAAAAGGCATATTCAAAATGTTATCTGTAATTCTAAGAATATTTAATTAATTCTCTAGCTAAAATTTAGAACAGGTTGGTGACAAAAGTCAGGTCAAATCCGTCAGAATCGCCAAGAGAAAGTAATCAGCAAGCCTATGAAGCTTAATACTTCAGTGCAGTCGCAGAGCTCGACTCAATCAGCCGGTCAGAGCCTGAACAAGGCAGGGGCTGCAACTTTAGACTCGTCTGCAAACCAGACATTCTTGCTCCGTTGATGCTCAACGCCGGCTAGGGTTTGCACATACCTTCCCTTCGCTCAGCTGTCAAATATTAGGTACACGGCGTGACAGCTCATGCGTTCGACGGTTGGGTGTGAGACTCAAAAGCTAGTGGAATAACAACGGGAAAAGTAGAGTCAACGATCAATTTACGTCTGTGATCAATGCAACGTTTACTTGCTGCAACTAATTTAGAATCTACATTCATGATACTATTTTATTTTTAGAAGACGTTTGTGGCGAAGAGCTAGAGTAAGTCAACTTTACGAGGGCATTATAAGTTTAAACTGCCATGCTGTTGAATGTATCATTCTACAACTGTATTGTCTGTGCCTAATAGATTCAGATTTGTTTGTCGTTATGATATTATGGTTCTACTATTAACTTATTCAAATTGCTGCTGTGAAATATTGTTAATAAGATTGTAAAAAATAAATGTGACGTAGTAAAAGATTTCTTTTCAATCATTATGAACACCAATGTTTCGTAATGGATTAAGTTGTAAATTTTTGCTGATTTCAGAAAAAATGCACTCCCACATTCACAGACTTCATGCTCATATTTTTTCATTCATTTACAAATAACTGTTGGCAAAGTGCATGCTGGTCAATTGTATATTGTCACATCTATTTGAAGCGTCACTAGCAATACGAAAAGGCATGTTTATTAGTTATTTGCAGCTCAAGTCATGAATGAAATCAGTCGATGAATTTGGAATGCATGCTTCATACAGACGATTCGTCATGTATGGAGAGCTTATTTTAATTCGTGTTTCATCCTCTTTCGCAACGTTTACCGAACAAAGGTATTCGCTCCACAACCATTAGCCATTCGTATACAAGCTGCATTCATTCATCACATGCCACAGACAAAAACTTTGATGAATCATTTACAATGTTTGCTGATGGCTCTTTCGTCTATGCCTTGTTGATTAGAAGTTGAGTAAGTGAGACAAAGACCTTGGTACCTAGGGTGCATTTGTCGCCCTGAAGGCCGAGTTCGGCAAATGATTTCAAAAATACCAGTCCTATGAAGGGAGCCCGTATTCAATTTTTACTCAGATTTGACGCTACAATTGTAGGATGATCGAACAAGAAAAGGATTCTCGTTCCTCAAGTGTTCTCACTTAGCATAAGCATAAGTTTTAATTATTTTCTGAAACGATTCGTGCGCGAGTGGATTTTTTCCGTTAAAGTGTACAGTGCAAGCGTCAATATTCCATTTAACTATTTGGCTCTAAGCTTCGCATGTTGGAAGCTTAGGAAATGTTGCGAAGGAAGCTTCAATGTTGGAAAACTACCTGATTAATAATTTCTATGTGTCCGTAACTTCATTTTGATAATCGACCATTGAATGGAGACAATCATTTTCCATACTTAGATGAAGTGCAAAGAAAGAGTGCAAAACCGGATATCATTGTGCAGTTCAAACGAACGATAATTAATAGTTGTACAAGTACAATTCATTTTCTGTCACAATAAGTAGTTGCGCTCTGACACCTGTCGCCCGCAATTGTGATTGCTCGATCAGCCCAAGTCTCGCAATAGCAGATCGATATTAAGATGTTTTATTTATGTGTAATTACTTAATTACCTTGTTGAAAGGATGTCTCAGCGTATGCATTTTAAATTCCTGCTACACTGTATTTTAGTGGTTGAGCATTCTACTACCATTGATAACACTAAAATTCTGTTGATGTGCAATTTTGAAGCAGCTTTTGAATCAGTTAAGATATCTTACGCATTTGATATCGCAAACCGGATTGAACCTCATTCAAGTCGGTACATTCATGCACTCATTCAGGTACAACTGAGTCGAGCTATGTTTAATATAAATAAAAAAAAAACATTTTTAGGAACCACGTTTTTCTGGTGGTTACAAAACTAAAAACAATAAAATAAAACAAATAAAAAAACTTTTAAAAACCACGTTTCTTAACGGACAAAAAATAAAAACATTAACTCTTTCATTACATAACATTCTACATAACTTTAATGTTATGTAAGAGTTAATGTTTTTCTTTTTCGTCCGTTAAGAAAACATGCTTTTTAAAAGTTTTTTATTTGTTTTATTTTATTGTTTTTAGGTTTGGAACCACCAGAAAAACGTGGTTTTTAAAAATGGTTCTTTTAAATATTTTTATTTTATACTTTTTAGTTTAGCAATTTTAGCAAATCAAATCATTTTCCAGGGTTGGCAACTCTGAATGTTCGACAAAAAACTCGATTCCCAACCGTGAATTTTTAGGTTTTTTATATTTTTTTAAAGAAAATTTTTTTTAACTTATTACTTCTGATGATCAAATCTTGAATTGTTAGGCAGCATAAGCATGCATGCCAAATTTCAAGTTTCTAGGATCTTCAGAAGTGCTCTAAATTAAGGTTTCATTTAATACAGCACATATCGTTTTGTTATCGAGTGCATTAACGGAAGCCAGAATTTATGCATCGCAAGTTGTATATATTTGTGCACCTACACATTATCTTGTAACCCCCTGAGTAGTTCAGAGGCTATACTATCAGAAATATTTCCGAGTTCATAACTTAGTCAGCCAATCACTGACGGCTTCTCAAGCTAACTCCAACAATCAGAGATGAGAAATTAGCCGCTATATATACTTAGGCCGCTCCGTGTACTTAAGCCACTACGTGTATCTAGACCGCTACGTGTACTTCGGCCGCTACATTTACTTAGGCCGCTACGTGTACTCAGACCTTCATGTATACCTGGGCCGCTACTTGCACCTAGGTCGCTACCTGTACTTTGGCAGTTACGTGTACTTAGATTGCTACGCGTACTTGAGAGAGTTTTGATAGCAAGACCCCATGAACCTTGGTGGACCGAATTGCGTCAGCTGCGCACCACTCTCCTTATATGAAGAATTTACAGCATTTCACGGTAGGCAATTACACATATAGAATACTAGTACAAGAAACAAATATCTAATGATCAAATTAAGTGATAACAACAAGAGTTGAATATAAATAATGGTTTGAGCTGGCTCGCAGGCCTACTCCTACCTACTGCCTCTTCTCATGAAGAGAAGAGGAGGGGGGAGGGGGGAGAAAGCCAGCCGGGTTCTTGAAAATTAAACTAGACACTTAACTTATATACGCGTAGTATACAGAAAAGCAAATTCAAAATCAAGTTGATAAATGTGTGGGTATTCTGAGTATTACGTTAATCACGGAGGAAAATTTTACGTTAATCTCAGAGGAATTCTAGTAATCACAGAGCACAATCGTAAGGTGTTTACCGTATGAACGCCGCTGACTCTCTCCAAGTTGAAGCCAACAGCTGTTTAGTCGACAGGACGTTTCGCCTTTCCGTGAGGTTTTATTATGGATTCAAATTCAATAGTCGGGCATTACCAGCCGTTCATTTCTGCTCCAAGCCGGCGGACAATCAATGCAACCCATAGTACATTATTGTATCAAGTACTTGGAATATTTTTATTAATTAGGCTACACTTCAGGCTGAAATATGAACAGATACTAACATTGTGCTGTGACAAGGGAAATGAAAATATCACGTTGAAATCTGGAATAAGCCTAGTAGAATAGAATAGAATAGATTGAATGTTCGAGTCGTGAAAATTTTTTCAATTTCTCTTCGTTAAACTACGCCTGATTTTTTCAGCCAGTTTTCAAATATTAATTTATTATAAAATATACCCCAAACTAATGATCGCAGCTCGATGAAACTTGGCCAATATATTCATTGGGATCTAACGGTGATGTTTAGGTTATGCCAATTTTTCGAGTTTGTATTCGTTTGCGACTTTTACATCTTTACACGGCTTCCAACATATAAGCGTGTCAATAGACATTTTTAAGAGTCATTTGAGCTCTATCTGAGTAAATTTGAGTGAATATTGTTGTGTTTGAGATCAGTATTGCAATTGTTGAGTTTGAGATATTGCTATTGTAAAAACATGCAGAAATCGACCGCAGAAAAGCCAGTCACTACTCCGTTTAGCCGAATAACTCGCGAACGAAGGCGAAAAAAAAATCGCACCCTAAACATCATTGTGCTAAATGTTAGCACTAAAATAAAATTTGTTGCATTTCCATCTATAATCTTATTGCTTGCAGGCAGGGTTTCAAAGATTATTTTTACAGCTCGCGAGAGATAAAAGAAAAGTTGATTTCTTTGCGTGAATACCTAGGTTCGTTTAAGATAATGTTCAATCATGGATTTAGAAAGCTAGCGACAGCTCGATTAAAATTCATTTTAATTTAGTTAATTAATCTCAAGGGGCTACGAAAAAGTGTTTTATTTCGTTAGACTATTTTGAGCTTCAGGAGGCATAATTCAATGGTGTCGTACAGGGCACTGGTATGGCGCAACAGGTCTCAGGTGTATGGTTAAGTGATATCTATTAGAGTATATTAGACTATAATATTCTTCAGACAGATCTTCTCCGACTGTCGCGCGCTTTCAACCAAATCTCTCGCGAACTTTTTGATAATTGATTTAACCAACGCATGGTTATACTAGTTCAACCATTAACCCGCATCGTTTGTGGTTCAACCCTTTATTTTCTGGCGCTAACTTTATTTACCAGACTCTCTGTATGAATGGCATTGGAAACAATTAGTGAGCCCGTGTACAAAGGTTAATTAAAGCAAGGCTTACACGTATCTTGCATTAATTAGCAAACATTAATCTCAGAAAAAGTGCAAAAAGGCTATCCTGAATAATGCAAGTTCTAAGTTGGCAAAGTTACTCGCATTCACGATAGCAAAAAATTTGTAAGGTTCTTTCAAGAAGCAGTAAACATTTAATTCAAGTGTAAATACTTGTCACTATACCTTTACCAATACAACTATCAATAATTAATATTAATGATAGTTCATGAGTTTTACAGCAACACAGCGGAAGAACTTTTTAATCATTTGTCTGACAATTCCAACGATGACACACTTTTTAGAATCGTTTGTTGGGTATTAAACAATAAATACTGGGTCACACTAATTCTTCCTGTTTGATGAACAAATTTACGCGCAATTCATGGCCGCTCCATGCATTTGGTGCTGTGAATGACAATTACATGATAATGTCAATAAATGGGATCGATAACGATTTTGTTGCACAGTACGTGTTTATCGGATATCTCTGTCGTCATAGTGAATTGAATTCAAAATTATGTAATTATTTAATGAAAATAAATTTTAAACTGAGCTTTGTTGTCGCAGACTTTTATTTTCAGAAGAAAATCACCAGTTTCCAATTAAATGAAAAATACAAGACGTGAAGGGAAAATAGGTGAAATCAAACATGTATGAATTATTTTATACAAAGTAAGCAGTCTTCATGCGAAAAGACTAAAGGTAATACACATTTTTTTATCGATAAAATTCTTAATCGTAGAATCCGCAAACCCCCTAAGGCCTTATATAGTTAAGAGACTTCGAAAAAATGTACTTAAATTGCGC